GGGAAAGAGAAGATCAAGGTGGCACAGAAACAGTCATTACAAAATGCAGAAAACAAAAGCAGATTTTTGTTCTTGAAGCAGATCTGACATAGATTTAGGGGTAGCAGGAGGAAAACATAGAAATGCCAAACCTTCTAAATTACTTAGTATGATTTACCTTCTTTGCTTCACTGATCCCTTGCCATTTCACAAATTTCAAGGGAAAATTAGTTTTACATTTCAGAGCAATCCTTTGGGAGTGGGAAAAGAAAGTAATTGAGACAGCCTGCTTTATAGGGAGAGCTTCTGAATAAAGTGTGTGGTGACTAAACTCCCTGTTGAGCCTTCAGCAAATACCAGCACAGCCTGTGTGGGCAGTATCCTCACTACTCCTCCCAAGCTGGGTCCTGTAAATGCATTTTTACGTGAATCCTGTGTCTCCTTTGGTCTGTCAGTGGTTGTTCTGGAGTGTGTGTATCTGTGTGTGTGTTAGGATTTGTACAGTAAAATTCACCCTGTGAATGTTTGGTCCCCCAGAGAGATTGTCAGTGTATTTGAGGCAAAGGTACCACCTAATGCTGAGACAGCTTCTCCAGATTCAGGAAGGAAATAGTTTGGGATTGGGAAAGAAACTATCTGGCAGTCTTGGTTGGGAGCTTATCTTGCTCCTTTTCTCCAGCCTGGAGCTTCTTTAGCTTCCTTGGCTGCTGCTGGGGCAGCTAAGAGCCTTGTGCTGGTAGCAGCCAAGGTTGAGGGGGAGCCAGGTAGGCCAGGCAGGGAGGGAGGGGTGGACCTGCTGTGGAAGAGGTGGTCCTGCTGGAGGAGGCAGTGGCACAGGAAAGGGCAGGGAAAGGCAGGACGGGGCAGCTCACCCGAGACCCGGCTTCCTCACTGGAGGAGGGTGGGATCAGGGAGGGTGGGGCAGTAAGGGGAGATCAGGGATTTTGTTTGTTCAGCTTGCATTTGCCTTCAAATTCTTACCATCTATGTACATTTTTACTGAGGTGTCCCAGGGTTTGCTTTTGTTATTGTATTTCGATAAATGACATGGCTAATATAAACCAGATAACACTGAAGGGGAAAAGAGAAATTCAGCAGCACTGCAGGCTTAGCTCTCCTCCAAGACAGAGAATCGAGTCCCCAAAGGAAGGGGGTTTATCACGGGGCTCTTCTCCATTTGTGTTGACAGCAATGGTGTGCTGGCAAAGGAGAGGAGGCTGCAGTTCCACCAGAAGGGGAGAAGTATGAACTCCTCTGGCTCTGGAAAAAGCAGTGCGACTGTTTCAAGGTAAGAAAGTACTATGTTTTGAAGGTCATGGCACAGTTCAGTGGAATTTGGCTGCGTTTTGCTGGCAAAATTTAATTCTTCTGTTCCATAGTTAAATTAACTTGGCTTGCTTTATGTGCATTGTTGCATTTAGTAGCCGAGAAAGGAATTTTAATTTGGTTGCTTGAAAACTGCTATTTGTTTTTAGTTGTGGTTTGTGGTAAATACTAACAAATGGGCTTAAACATTAGAAACATCTGAAATTGTAAAGATGTTTTAAAATTGGAACTCTGCAGAATAAGAAGGGCTGACTATAACTTGCAGGGTTGGATCTGATATGTGTCTGGGATGATGTTTCTGTTGATGTGAAACAAAGCTTCAAATGCAGAGACCTCGACAGTTATTTCCTAAAGTAGACTGAGCTGTAGGAGTTAAAAGGTCAATAGGCCAAGCTGGCTACTGGTCTGAATTTGCAGTTGGACAGAAGAGACTGGGTGTTAAAAAGAGGCAAGTAGATAGTAAACATTTTTTCATTTGTCTAGTGTTTCTGAATTACTGGAGCTTTATGAAGAAGATCCTGAAGAAGTGCTCTATAACCTCGGATTTGGAAGAGATGAACCAGATATTGCTTCGAAAATTCCAGCAAGATTTTTTAATTCATCATCGTTTGCCAGAGGCATAGATATCAAAGTATTTTTGAATGCCCAAATACAGCGCATGGAAGTGGAAAACCCAAATTTTGCTTTAACAAGTAAGTATGTTTTTGAAGCAAAGTTTATTTTTAAGTTTTTGGAATATGTAAACAACTTCAAAAGAAGGTGTATAACTAGTGTTCTGGCAAAACCCCTTTACAGTCTAAAGGCTAGATTCCTTCTAGAATCCACAATAAAACTCTGCTTTGTCTTAAATATGGTAAAAGGTTACCATCAGTTTCATATACCTTGAGGTGAGGGGAAGGGATTTATTGTGGGGAAGGGAAATTAAAGGCATTCCGTAAGATAGATTGCTTTCTGTTTTGTGTCATTCTTGCTCCTACGCTTGTCTTCTGTGGCAGCTTTAGAGCACTGAAATGAACAGCAATATCTGTCTCTTTTTTTGTGTGCTTCAGTATCCGGGTGGGTTTTTTGAAGTCTGTCAGCAGTGACCTACTTCTGTAGTTGTTGAAAACTGGGCCAATATTTCTGTTGACTCGGACAGGAGCTTTGTTAGGTCAGTAATGGACATTGCTGAAATGAGGGCATAGCTGAAATGTCCTCTTGCTCTTGCAGATTGAAAGAGCAATGCAAGTAACCCTTTTCTTCCTAGTACTTTGTAAATTAACTTGCACTCATGTACCCACATCTCTTTTTTATTTTGTGAAAGCTTTCCTTGCTCTTCTCCTTGCACATTTACCAAACACCCTATCAAAGGTTTTTTCCATTGTTTTCATACTGTGGGGTATCAATCTAATTACTGGACTAATCAGTGCTCAGTCAGCCTTTGGGACCCTTTATATACATAGGAGGAGATTTGGGAGTGGGCACAGGTTTTGATGAAAATTCCCTCTTCAAATATGAAGAAAGAGCTGTCTCTGAGAATTCAAGTCATCATGTAGTGATAGATCAACAGGACTGAGATGTGACAACAGCAAACTTTCTTATAAACTGCCTTATGTTTTGTTCTTGTGCAGGTCGTTTTCGTCAGATTGAAGTGCTTACTACTGTGGCCAATGCTTTTTCTTCTTTGTATTCTCAAGTCTCTGGGACTCCTTTGCAGAAAATTGGTAGTATGAATTCAGTGTCTTCCAGCAAAGAGGCATCCAGCCCTCCCCCTTTAAACCGCAGCAACACAGCCAGCCGGCTAATGAAGACCTTGTCTAAGCTCAATCTGTGTGGCACACAGCAGCCTGATGGGAGTGCCTGCTCAACTCCTTCACCTGTTGAAAAAGGGAAAACTCCAGCTGAGCTAGGGAGTGAGGAAAATGATGTTACAAATGAATCTAAATTACCAAAATACGCTAAAAAGAAAGACTCCCCCTCTTTTCTGTCTACTGTAAAAGAGGAGATTGCTGGTAGTCAGAAAAATGCTGTGGACACACATAAACCTGCAAACCTTTCTGCTGGGCCTGATGATAAGCAAGAAGTTACTGTGCTTCCAGCAGATGTGCAGAGCAGCAGGTTGGCAAATGCCCAGGATAGACTGTGTGAAGAATCTGGTCTTTTCGACTCAGCAAGCCTTAGCAGCAGTTCCAGTGCATCCAACAGCAGCACCTTGACTCAGCGGCTGCCCACGGCATCGCCAGGTAGAGACCCTTGTGCTCCCCTCGCAAACCCGTCCATAATTAATCTAATGCTGCAGCAGAAGGACTCCTTTGAGATGGAAGAGGTAGGTGGAGATGGATGACTTTGTTTTTGCATACAGTTTACATTAACTTGTGAGCTGCCAGCAAAGGAATGTTCCCTCCTATGTATCTGACAGTGTTTTCTCCAGGAATACTTTAAATTCTCCAAGCGACAGGACAGTTGTCACTCTCTTAGTAGGCTGCTCTAATTGATCATCTTAATGAAACAACTTGGGGCTGCTGCTGTTGTTCCTGAGAGCCAGCAGGAAAGTCCTTACTCTTATTTGTCATCCAGCTCAGGTAATTGCAGTAACCAGCGAAACTGTTAGAAACTTTTCCTGTGGAAATAGGTCTAGATTAGCCTTTGTGTATAAAAACCTTTAAGTTTTGACTTTGCTCAAATTGCTAACTAGAAGTCATTGGTTTTTTATGCGTGGATTAAAGATAAATTTGTGGATGGAGCAAGAGTGTTGTTGCATGAAAGGGAAAGCGGCTATCGAGGTGAGGTGCTCATCTTGTGCAACCTGTGGTTTTGATGACAATCTGCTCAATGTTGATCTGTTTGTTCTCAGGAAATTAGCACCCTGAGAGTGACTGTTTTGTTGTGCCTTTGTCAATGGCTTAGTTAGATATTCTGTGCTAGCTGCCTTTTAATATCTTCATAAAGGCACCTATCCGTTTTTTTGATAATTGTCCCAAAGGGATTTTAATTCCCAAGTTCCTGTAAGTGCTTTGTTTATTAGGCCAGTGAACGTGCAACCTACAAATTCAAGAATGCATTTTTTTGCATAGATTCTCACCTTGAATTGTAAGATCTGTCTTAAATTAGTAGATGTTTTTGTGGACAGTTTGGCAATTACCTTTTTTGTCTTTGTGAAATAGATACATTAAATGAAGGACTGTGACTTTGCTGGTGACATGAATGAAGGCAGTGAATATAAAATCCCCAGAGTTTTAAAGGGAATGATGAAGTGATGGGTTAGCAGATACTGTGTCTAGTGTTATATTGTCATTATAGATTCTTTTAGATCAAATAATGTTGTAGCTAAAGGCACTTACTACGTTTAAAAAGGTAATCTAGCCTCTTGTAGTTCCTGCCACTTGTTTGTGCCTGTGTGTCATCACCCACATGTTGTGTGGCCATCTGTGGAACCAGCACAAAGGAATGATCCAGTTGAGAGGGAAAAAGAAACTTAGCATACCTTGATTTTTTATTTTTCCTGGCTTAGTTTTCAGCTGGATAATTTTCCAGGTTTTTGTGTAGCTGCACAGATGTTTGCATTGGCACAGTGGGAGGGGTCTGAGTGGCAGTGAATTTTGCTTCTTGATGGTTGGACTGGTTTCATGTACCTCAGAGGAGAATTTTAATTTTTTTATTTTTTTATTTTTTTTTTTACTCTTGGGCAAAATTAAAGCAACTAATAAAAAAAAAACAAGAAAAAGGAATGGAATTTTCCTTCAGAGTAAGTTGGACTGTAAAGGGTTACAACATGAAGAAGACTTGCCAAATTCTGCACAAGCCCAGTGCAATGCATTTGTGAAGTTTTGGTTGACACACTTTGCAATGATGCCAGTGCATAAACACAGCTGTTTTGGCAAGTCAACATGCAGTGTGGGATGGTGAATTTATGTTTACGCAATAGAATGTATATGTATCAACCGCTTTCAGCTCCCTGGGAGGGAGGGATTTGGTTTTGTTGAAGAAACTTTAGAACAATACCTGGCAGCGTGATTTTATTTTTGTGCATCTCCAGGCAGGGTATAATGAACAATAAACTGTATTAGAAACAGTGCAAATACCTCCTCCCGTTTTGCCAGCTTGGCTTGGAGTGCATTCATACGTGCAAGAAAGATGACAGATATATCAAGGAAGCTCTTTCCATGCTCGCAAATGCCTTGGAGGTTTAAGCGCCCTTCGGAAGTCTGTGGCTGTGAAGATAGTGCGGGAGTGAGTCAGGGCAGGATTTCCCCCAAACACCCGCTCCTGAGGCGGCCACTTGCAGTCCTGAAGGTTCTCTGTGGTTGCTGAGCTGTGCTGTGCTGCGGGTGCTGCCGGGCTGCTTCCCCCCAGCCAGGGACAGGAGGCGGAGGGTATTTAGATGAGAAGAGGCTTGGCTGTCGGGAGGCTGCAAATTTAGCCATCAGAAACTGGGAGGTCAAACAGAATCAAGACACCTTTCCTGGAAGGCCAGACCAATCAAAGGGCCTGTAAGATTACTTGCTGGTTGTTTTTGGTTTTGTTTTTTTAATTATTTCTTATTTTAGAAAAGGTACTTTTTGTAAACGTAGATGGTGAGCCCCTTCTAGGCTCCCTGATGTTTGGACAAAATAAGAATTTACCTCTTTGCTACAGCTTTCATCTCGTAAAGGAACCAAAGTCTCTTGCTTTATTATGCAAGAGTAATGCTGCTCACTTATTAATGGTGAAAAGTTCAGGACAAGTAATTCTCAAAACCTTGTAACTAAGAATATGCACCTTGTGGCTGCTATGCACATGATATCAGTGCAAATATGGCTTCTTTAGGCAAATACTAGTTTGGGCTTAAAACCATCAGTATCATGGTTTTGCAATTTTGAGTTGATAAAAAATAGAGATTAAAATTTCATTGCTTACTAAGTTTGACATTAGACAGGAAGTCTGTTAGAGGGAAGGCTTGGGAGTGGTTGGATTGGGAGTTCTGTGCGTGTAGACTTGCATGTGAAACAGTAGAGTATTTTCTGTGGCAGACAAAAGAGAAAACATTCTAGCTTTTGAACAAACAAAGCCCTCCCTGTTGAGATTTTAGGCATATTCTTTTAATTGTTTGAATGGTTGTCTGAGAACTGCTTTCTTAATAAGGCTGTTTCACATAGTGATTAAGTAACAGGATTAATTTTCATGTAGTTTTAAGTTTCCCAGTTGAAATCTGTATGGCTCTGGACTCATTATCTTCCTTTTTTATACTGGAATTCACAATTGTTTCCATGAGTAGTGGCATGATGAAGTCTGGAGTAGGTTCTGGCAGGGTCCGAGTTGTTCTGGTGACTTGTAGGAAATAGTTGGTAGGGCAGCAGATTACAATCCTTATGTGGCTGACCTCTTTTTATGTTTTTCAAAATGTATTTTCTTGTTCTTTGTACTCAAATGAGGGGCCAAGAGTACAGAATGGAAAAGACAGTAGTGTAAAGGTGGTCAGAGGTGTTTTCACACATTTCAGTCTTTCTTCAAAGAGGAGCCTTCTGACTGAGCCCTCTCAGGACTGTCACATGGTGTGATTTCCTGGTCTTGGATGATGAATGTCACTGGAGGAGAGCCCTGTGCTGTGGGTGAGAGGTGCTGCCTAAGGATCACTGCTGTCCTACAGGAGCATTGCTGAGTACATGATGAAATCATTATAAGCTGTTGGACTGGAGGAAAAACCTCCCCCCCCCCAATAATTACAAAAAAACCCAACAAAACAAAAAGATCCCCCATTGCCCTCTAAAAATAATCCCCCCAAACCTGCATGAGCAGTGTAAATAGGTTGGGCATTGTTGAGCACATCAGTGTGTTCCAGTTGGTGTGACAAAATATTCATCTTCTCTTCCTGACAGATCCAGAGTACGGAGGGGGATCTATCTCATGTTCCAGCTTCTCACCAGCTGGCAGTGACCAAGTCAAGGAAAGGTGAGTAAACTTCAACTCCCAGGAGACGGCAGTCTGCTGAGTGTCCTCTGCTCTCTGAAATGTGGATTCAGATATTTAAAAATTCTAAAGTGTCTTTTCTCTTTAGAAAGAAAGAAGATCTGGGTTTCTTTTTCAGCTAAATCACAGAACATTACTGCAAAATGATGACCAAATTACAGGCAAGACAACAGCCCTATAACCTCACTGGCTGTTTTCACTTTTATACAATTGATGATAGCTCAGAGGGACTTAAATGTTAATTAAAATTGTATGGGACCTTTTTTCCTTGACGGATCCTGTAATTTAAGATACCCATTTAAAGTAAAATTACACTGTTTTAAACCAAAATTGCATGATACATCCAGCTTTTTTCCTATGTGCTACTGCTCCATCTGCAAGCTGGCTGCACATAAGATTAGTGTTTCTGCATCCATGTGGCAATTGTAGTCCTTCACATGGCAAACTCTGCACTGGCTCTTGTGGCTCTCTTAGTTTGTGCTTTCATCTCAAATTCTTATGTATTTTATGGCTTGGGAGAGGGCCAAGGCCATTTGTTAGACCAAGAAGGACCGCCAGAAACTGCATCTGTTGACAGCTTCCAGCGTTTTTTCCTTGGCTGTATTTTAAAGTTCATAATTACATCCTTTACATGATTACATGTGAAGAGATGAGCCCTTTACAAATCAGATGTCTTGTTTGCTTGTCCTTAGCAGTTTCAGAAAGTGCTCTTCAGAGGATGACTTAAGGAACCAGGAGCTGCAGTCAGGGAAGAGAAAAGTACATTTTTTTCATCTTCTGAAAAGCTAGTTTTGTATTTTCTGTTCCCAGCAGCTATCATACTCTCTTCTTCCTCCATGCAAGGAAAACAAAAAAGTCAGGTGGTCCCTATGGTACCAGCCAAGTTACCAGCAGTTCAGCAGTGGGTCTTCAGCATGGCAGAAGCAGGGCCATGGGATACTAGTGTGTCCTGCCTGCTTCTGCATACACTTGGCATAGATTAGAGATGACATTTTGTTATCATGTAAGTATTGCCTAGAGTTTTCTGAGTTCTCTAACAAGGACATCAATGCAAATGGTAAGCCTGCACATTTGCTAAAAATTAGTCTAAGACCAACACTTTATTTCACCTGCAAGATAAGGAGATTTTAGGATTTTTTTTCTGTATGGGTTTCAGTGTGGTTGCCAAGAGAGAAAGCATTTGGTGGAAAACTTATCCAAAACATTAAAAAGTAGTTGTCAAATGTGAGGCAATGTAGAGGCCTCTTTTCTCAGAGAGCCAGTGCTTACCAAGTTTGAAGGCATCCAAAGTTAACGGTCACTTATTGAAAATGCTGACCGTTGTGTCTGAATGTAAAATGCCTCTCTCACTGTCAATCTTTTGAGGGGAGATCAGTATGAAACTCAAGCACCAATCTTACATTGCAATGTGATTTCAGTTGATGATCCTCATAGAGAGCCATCTCTTTCTTTGGTGGTTGCTCTAGCCTACATAAAAACCCTTTAAACAAAAATGTTCCAAATGAATGCTTTCCATGGAGGAATAAATTTGTACCCTTTTTCATATACAGGTACTTCTGTGTCAATTAATAGGGCTAGTGCTGTTCAGTACAGAATGTTATAAACCTTGCAGTGTCATTTCACTTCTACAGGAGAGGGCTGTGGATTCTTTCTCTGACATTTACAATGGTTCGGAAGGCATTTCTAGAGTGTCTGTAATAAGAACATAAAAGAAAATAAAGGTTCTCTAATAGTCTGGAGTCTCTTAAGATACAAAGAATTCTGTATTGTATTGACTAGCTCGATAGACTTTTTAGGTTATGTCATCCAAATAGTACTAAACTGAACTGTACAGTAATTAGTTATGTGCAAAGCTGGCATTCTGTTCTTTGTTGCAAACCTCAAAGGTAGGTGTATTTTTGTGAATGGGGTCTTTTTTAGGAATGCAGTACAGAAGAATGAAAACCTTCAGTTGCCTTGCACTGTAAACGTACAGTGTTGCTAAATGTCCACTATAAAAAAGCCTTATTGCAAAGTTATCTGGAAGGAAGGGTTGTTACTTGGAAAACAAATTTAAACAGCAGCACCTTCTATTCCAAAAATGCCCAACAAACAGGACAAATATAGGTGCATTGTATAGAGAACAAAGTATTCTCAAACCATTGTAATTTGTGTCTGGCTGCTGACACCAGTGGCTCTGTGAAATTTTGAGTAGCCACAACCTGCTTCTTTTAAGGCATCTGACACTGATAGTCAAAAGCAGTGATTAATTTTGAAAATTTAGTTCTTAAAAGTGAAGAAAGCACATAATCAGCACTTCCAGTCCTTACTATATTGCATGTATAGCTCTCTGTGGGTGCAGCTCTACAGGACATTAGAGGTGAAGGAGTGAGAAGAAAACATTTGGAACAGATTTTGTGGAGTCTGTGCCTGTCAGTCCAGAAGCCAGGAAATCCATAGGGACAGATAAGTTTCTGCAGCAGGGTTCTCTACAAGGCTGGTTTTGGCTGTGCAGGGCTGCGAGGTGCAATCATATGGGAGAAAGGGGCAGCAGATTTTTAATCTTATAATGAAATTCTTTACAACCAAGTTGGGAATATCAGTTTAATTAATAATCTGCTGACATACAGAGTGCATTAGAGCTTTGCAATGCTGCCGGTACAAGAAACGTAGATGTTACCAAAGCTTTACTAGCAGTTTCCATGTATTTCTCCTCTTCTTCTGTGTGAGCAGCCGAGTGATGCAGAAAGTGTAAGACAAGTACCTGATGGGAACAGTTTGGATTGGTGAGACTGAGAGTCCATTGGTAGCTGAATGTTATTTTACAGTAGATGAATTATTCCATTATTTGGTAATCATTCCAGGATAAATCTGTGCTCTTATAATTTGTAAACCACCTACTTGTTTCTTCATCATCTGTTCTTGTTTAGAAGTTTCTCAGCCTATTTGGTATATTTCTGAATACCCACATTTCACTGGCATGTATTCAGTGCCTAAATATATTTTGATTTTTGTATGCAGTTTAAAACAATAATCCAAGGGGCACTTTCATTTGTGCTCTGTTTAACTGGGACATGGATTTGATTGTTCCTTCTGTATTTGTTCATCTTGGTTGGTTCCTTTTCCCACACTTTCCTTATTGTGCTGCCTCTGGCTTTCTCCTGCTAGTTTAGAAGGTTTCCTCTATGTAGAGTTGATAATAGCTTTGGGCCTTGGGGTCAGCATTGTGTGGTGACCTTTTTGTGGAAGGTACAGTTGACATAATTAGGGTACGCAGGACAAGGGATGATCCCAGGTTAGCCCCTACAGCTTTTTGTGCTGAGTTTTCTGCATTTAAGGTGAAGAGAGGGAGTAGTATTTCATCACAACCTCCTTATGTTATGATTATCTATGGCTAGGAGGCACCTTAATCAAGATATGAGTGTAATTCCTTAGCTTTCTTTGAAAAAAATGTTTCCATGTTTTCCTGTTCTCTGCTTGAATCTGAGAGGCATTCAGGTGCTGTAGAGCAGGCTGTACATCTGGCTCAGTAGTTGACAAAGAGGGTGGACACTGTTATGTATCAGTATATCCCAATGTATCAGTTGGTACTTCACTTCTGTAAAGAGCCAAACCTTTTTATTTCACTACTGAAGTAGTAGAGATTTCTCTTCTTACATGATAGTGGTATAGAGAAGAACTCTGAGAACTTACAAGAGACAAGGGTAAGTAAGGTGTGGTAGAAGACCCCTTCACTGGCAGTATCTGTAACGTAAGGGTGTCAAAGCATGTACGTAAATTAAAACTGCTATGGAAAATTGTCTGAAACACTGGTTTTTACTTTAGGAAAATGTCTCTGACTAGGTCCAGAATTGATACATATACATGTATGTTTGTTTTGGGGTTATGTTTTTTTTTTATAGCTGAAAAGGGAATACTGACTGAGGAGGAAATAGATGGGCAGTAATACAGAAAAAAAAAATAAAATCTTGAGCAGCAATAAAGTTAATGAACATGAAGCCAGATGCCAGCACAGGCACTGGTGAATTGCAATATCTGGACTATTTGGAATCTCTCCCCAGTGGCTAAGGCGTTCACCAGTAGTGCTTTTCCTTTTAAATTGAAATTTACTAAATAGGAAAAGACACAGAGAGGAGGCTGAAGTAGGTGACTATTCACCTTGAAGGAGATGGCAGCTTCCCACCAGCCTCAGCTGTAGTGGCAACATGTTCACAACACGCTCTTTCAGCAGTTTTAATTGTATGGGGCAGTTAATAAGAGTTAGTCCAGTTCTCAGGGAAGTAATTGCCATTGTCTTTACCAGGAGCTGGGTGGGGATATCTGTCTTGAGGTAGAAAAGTTGTTTATCATGGCAGGGTATTGTGGCTACCATGATAACAGAGCAACAGCACAATTTGAAAGGCACTCCCTAAAAGCTGTGTGGAATCGCTGATACAGAAGTTTAATGGGCAGTTTGCCTCCTCCTGGTGTTCACAAACTTCTGGGCCTGTGTAGGCTTTTATTTCTGCCTTAGTAAAATGTCCATAAAAATTAATACTAGAAAAAAATCAGTTCTGAATATCCAACAGTTTCAAAACAGTTTTCATAATGCATTCCAATGCATTGAGCTGTGAACTGGGATTAGTTTATATGATGACAATTAAGTGGTTGAAGGAATGTGGGGCAAAATCTCTCCGCACTGAGCCTCCAAGAAGACAGCAGTGAGCTCTTGCCCCAGGGTGAGGAAGCGGCAGGGATCTGGGTGCAAGAGGCTGCTGTGTTCTCATCCCATCTCTAAGCTTTTGGACCTCTGCTGAGAACTAGTGGTTAGATACAGATACAGATACAAACAGTTGTTGCCCAGGCTGACATCTGGCTAAGCAAAATGTTTATGGTGTGTAGG